ATGACGAACATCATGACCATGCCCTTTTCGCTGAGTTAGGTTCTTCCCCAGCCTCAATGGAATCAGGTAAAATTCTCGACGCATATGGCTCGCAACCAGGCTTCTCGAAGCAGCAGGCGGACGCTAGACAAGCGTATACCCAAGCGCTTTTTGAAGGTATAACTACATGGGTCCGTTTGCCTAAGAATCGTTGGCCCAGTTCCTGGAAAGGCTACCGAGACCCCGTATGCCCGCTTCGATTAGCTCTTTATGGCCATCCCGATGCCGGCGGCATTTGGGAAAAGCATTGCGAGACACAGCTTAAGTCTGTAGGATGGATCCCAATCTTGCCTGAAATATGGCAAAGCGTCTTCTACCATCCTGAGCTTGAGCTAATGCTAGTCGTGTACGTCGATGACTTTAAGATGGCAGGTCCCACCAAGAACATGGCTCAAGGTTGGAAGGACATCAACAGCGTCATTGATATGGATCCTCCCGAAGCCCTTGGTCGGTACTTTGGTTGTAACCACGTAGAACAGCAACAAGTCTCCTGTCCCAAATCCGAACACCCTTTTGCCCGTGTCTTTGAGGGAAAACCCGCAGCAATTGCGAGGGGAAACCCATCGCCGGTCAGGAGGGAGGACTTCTGGGAAGTAGACTTCGAAGCTGGTGCAGTGGTTAGACATCATGTGTACCCAAGAAAGAAGCTATACGTTCCAACTGAAGACGACGTACTAGCTTTTCCCATGATGGGGACCAGTCGTGTCACCGAATTTGATTCGAAAGAAGAGTTACATGTTGACGACTTTAACCAGGGGGGTGAAGCTAAGTTTGATTGGTGGACCGGCAGAACCTATTTCCCACTTGATCGTGAAATTCCAGTGGAAGACTTCACTTATGCTCTTGCGTCCTACAAGAAGAAGAATCCGCGTAGCAAGACAGAAGCTAAGAACAAAGTCAAAGAAAGTAGGTTCAAGCAACCCGAATCCATCATTGACAAACCAACCCCATGTATGATGTATGGTCAACAAAGTCAACACGGTAACCTATGACATGGAGGATTTTCTCGGCACCTGTGTTGAGAAGTACTGCGAACTGGCTAAGGTAGATCGGAAAACCCTGAGGCATGCTGCTACGCCTTTTCATGAGGCCCGTATCGCCAAGCCGGTGGACCCAGACAAGGAGCCAACCGGTAAGCTTGCGGGTATTGCATCACGCATCCTCATGAAGGTGCTCTTTGCAGCACGCGTGGCCCGATGGGACCTCCTCCGTGCTACGCAAGCCCTCGCGTCAAGGGTAACTAAATGGTCACCCGATTGCGACATTGCTCTACATAGGTTGATCTGCTACATTAACTCCTCCATGAACATCAAACTGAAAGGGTTTGTAGGAGATAAGATTTCCGAATGTAAACTGTGGATGTTCTGTGATGCTGATTGGGCAGGAGATGCTGATAGTAAGTCTACATCTGGTTGCATGATCGCACTTGTAGGCCCTAACGCATATTTCCCTCTAAATGCCTTTTCAA